GCCCTACGGTAGTGAGTGCTGGCCCATCTGCAAGAACCATGGAAGGCAGCTCCATCCAGCTGAAATGAGGATGCTGAGATGGGCGTGCGGTGGACACGACTCGACAGAGTCAGAAACGAGGATGTCAGGGCGGTCACACAGAGGCCCCGATCCAGCTGAATGCACGAGAGCAGCGACTGCGATGGTATGGGCACGTACTGAGGAGGCCTGAAGACCACCCAATAAGAAAAGCCTTGGAATTCGAAGTGGAAGGGCAAGCGACACGAGGAGCCCCAAAGAAAAGATGGAGGGACGTCATCAAGAAGAAATCACTGAAGTGAAAGCCACGGCAGAAGATGCAGTGGATCGGAACAAATGGCGACGTCTAACAAGAACAGCGGAGCCTGCGACGGCGCGGGACTAACGCTAGGGAGAAGAAGAAGAAGAAGGTCCCTGAACGCTCCAGACACCGGAAAGAGTAGGTCGTCGAGGGTCACGAGATTTCAGCAAGTGTGAGGCACACCTGTTGTGGGTGGAGCGTTCGTCGAGGTGGGTGGGGCCGGTCTTAAGAATTCTTCAAGCGGTTCCACAGCACTCCAGGCCTCCTCTGTAATACGACCCGGCCTCGCGGGGCGTGGCTCCATCGCGCCTATCTGCATTCGTATGATCAAATGTTCGACTAACACCCGGCTTTTCTCTCATCTGTCCACTTGGTCAACGCTCCTTACCATAAATCCATTCACCGTAGTAGTGTAAAATGAGAGAATTTCTGAGCTTCATTGTCTTGTGTCTTCTTTGTGAATGATAGAATGAAACTCGTCAAAGTCGTTTATCGCATAGACGACGTTTCGGGCTTTAAGCTTCTTCAGGTCTACAAACATCACATTTAAAGCCTACACCAACATCTTCTAACCTTACATACATAGGCAAGAAATCCAAAGGGGAAAAAACAATCAACAAATAAATGACCGGCTTCCTACGGGAAGGAGGGTCTGGGTGGAAGGGGGATTCGAGAGTATGCTGGAAGATGGTCTATGATGATGTGAGAAACAGTAACACGCAACACTGACTCACCTCCCTAGCTGTCCTTTCCTTCAGAAATGACACAGCGAGATTGGTGAAGCAGTGGTGGGATGTTGATACACTGCTATTTGTCATATTCACGTATCACCCGTTATGTCACATTATTGTGCAGCAATGATGTCCATTGTCCTTCTTAGTTCCTCCCTGTTGTTGATCGGTGGATTCCTCCTTCGAATCTCCAGTGCTTCCTTTATTTTCCTTTCCACCGGGTCACTTATGTTCTTGTGGATCACGCGCACCTTTAGTTCAGGTGCACGCTCATTCGTGTGGCGCAAGGAACGATGTCTCAAGAAAGGGCTATCCGGATAGCTGGCTGGGTTCCGGAAATCCCTCAGATGTTTATCAACCTTTTGTGGAGTGGCCGTCCAGTTTCTCCGATGTAGAATTCCGAACAGGACGCACACTCCACTTCGTAGAAGGTGTTCTTCAAAAGGCAGATCTTTCGTTCCTCCTGGCAGTGAAGACAGTTTTAGCGGTCACATCGGTCTTCGTATACTCGTAAGACGTAAGAAGACGACGTAGTGTTGGCGGCGGTCGCAATATCAAGCGGATTGGCATCCCCGAATTCTTTACAACTCGATTGCATCCTTCGCGAAGGAGTCTGAGAGAAAGGGAACTATTAGTGGGACGCCTCCTGGTACCTTGGGCGCCAACAATTTTTCAATTTTTTTTTCTTCGTTTCCAGATGCGCCCAAAATTGGAATTGAAGACCCTGACCTGGCTTCTTTCTAAGCACACATGCATATCTACGTACTATTTTCTAAGCACACATGCACATCTACGTACTATCAGCTGGTGAAAACGCACAAACTGGAGGCTTCTGAAGAAGTAATCATGAGTCACAATGAGAACATCAAGACGAGATCTATCGTGTCCTCTTGCGGTGGCCCACCAGACGCAATCAGCTGGTTCTTGCAGCACATGCTAGCACCGCTACTCAACTATGCACCAGCTGAGCTGAAGAACGCAGCCCATTTCCTGAATAATTTGCGGTGAACGTCCATTCCTATCGATCCCAGAACATCGTATCAAAGCTTCGATGTATTGCGTTATACACAAACGTGGATACAAGGATTGCCGTGGAAGCGTGCATCAATCTTCTATGACAACATAAGAACAGCTGTCAACTTTACGGGCTATCCATCAGCGATACCGAAGAGCTGACTAGTAATGTTGTTGAATTCAACGTGTTTCGTTTCCGCAACAACATTTATGAGCAAACGCGTGGATTAGCAATGGGCAGTCGAATTGCACCGCTTCTCGCAATCCTATTCATGGATCGTTTGGAACGACGTTCGCTATCATCGGGATTGCTGTTCTACGGCCGCTACATAGACGACATATTCATCGTTGCAAAGTCCAGAACAGCATTAGGCCAAACCTTCTTGAAGCTGAACTCAGTGCACTCAACCATTGCACTGACTGTCGAGGACCTGAACACGATGGTTTCCTACCGTTCTTGAATACCAATTGAAACTGTCGGGAAAAAAATATATTTTCCATGTGGCATAAGAAACCTGCTTCGAAGAGCATCCTGATCCACTCGAGAAGCTGCCACCTCTCTTTTCATGAAGAGGAATATGGTTCAGAATGCCTTGACAACAGCTCGGAGGTTGACGTCCACAAATGTTTCTGTAGTGATGGATACCGTGACGCGTATACTTCTCGAAACGGCCATGAAAGCAGACGCGTAAATTGTTGGCGCCCATATCAGGTACCAGGAGGCGTCCCACTTATAATTCCCTTTCTCTGACTCCTTCGCGAAGGATATCAATCGAGTTGTAAAGAATTCGGGGATGCCAATCCGCTTGATATTGCGACCGCCGCCAACACTACGTCGCCTTCTTACGTCTTACGAGTATACGAAGACCGATGTGGCCGCTAAAACTGCCTTTACTGCCAGGAGGAACGAAAGATCTGCCCCTTGAAGGACACCTTCTACGAAGTGGAGTGTGCGTCCTTTTCGGAATTCTACATCGGAGAAACTGGAAGGCCACTCTACAAAAAGCCTGATGAACATCTGAGGGATTTCCGGAACCCAGCCACCTATCCGGATAACCTTTTCTCGAGACATCGTTCCTTGCGCCACACGAATGAGCGTGCACCTGAACTAAAGGTGCGCAAGATCCACAGGAACATAAGTGACCCGGTGGAAAGGAAAATAAAGGAAGCGCTGGAGATTCGAAGGAGGAATCCACCGATCAACAACAGGAAGGAACTAAGAAGTACAATGGACATCATTGCTGCACAATGATGTGACATAACTGGTGATACGTGACATATGACAAATAGCAGAGTGTCAACATCCCACCACTGCTTTACCAATCTAGCTGTGTCATTTCTGAAGGAAAGGACAGCTAGGGAGATGAGTCAGTGTTGCGTGTTACTGTTTCTGTTTCTCACATCATCATGGACCATCTTCCAGCATACTCCCGGATCCGCCTCCCACCCAGACCCTCCTTCCCGTGGGAAGCCGGTCAGTTACTTGTTGATTGTTTTTCCCCCTTTGGATTTCTTGCTCATGTATGTAAGGTTAGAAGATGTTGGTGTAGGCTTTAAATGTGATGAAGAAGGGCTTAAAGCCCGAAACGTCGTCTATGCGATAAACGACTTTGACGATTTTCATTCTATCATTCGCAAAGAAGACACCGTAGTAGTGTCGAAAATAGCAGTATGATGTGGAATATGAACATGCTATTGGTTAAAGAGTGTTGACCACCTGTTCAAATAAAAGAAACAGGATACCAAGTGGTTTTGAAATGTGTGGAAGAAGAAAAGCGCTGACGGAAGCCGCGCTCGCTTGGCGGAGCCGCGCTCGCTTGGCGGAGCCGCGCTCGCTTGGCGGAGCCGTGCTGTATCCCAGAAGGAGGCGCCCCGGCTGGTGTCATGAGAAATGGCTATGTCGGGGTTTTTTTCTGAGTTTTTAGAATCGTTCATGAGCAAAAATAGAAATTTCAAAGACATCAATCTAGTGCGACAAACCTAATGGGTACTTCGGAAGGGTGAAGTGCTAGCAAAGGAGGTGCGCAGTAGTTCACTTTTGGAGTGGAGGCAAAGACGGCGACGGAAATATCTTTATCTCTATGTGATAACAAGAATCCTAGAAACCTCAACGCCAGAGCACTGAGTGGGTGCAATAGGATAACTGTTCCACATAGGTGCATTTGAAGTATGTACAAGGTTCAGAAAATATGTTTTGTGCTGCACCACAGGCATTCGTGATGTGGCGCCCTAAACAAGTCTGGGTGTGATCGCAATTTTCTTTTGGATTCGAGGATAAACTGAACGTTACGGTTAACAACGTAGAAAAAGAAATGCCTATGGTAGGAACTTCTGAGACTCCACAAAACTAGAAAGAAGTCCTGTAAAATCCCCCAGTTTGAAGTATGTTCCAGGGTTTCATAGCTCTTGATTGTATCAATTCGTACAAATCAAATGTCCTAATCGCGAGAGATAAAGCTTCTCAGTGCAATGACCGCGACGCGACCGCTCGTCCGCTGTCCATATATATTCGTATGGCATCTAAGTTCTCCTGGGCAAGAGAATAGTAGTTTATCGCGCAGTCGTGCGACACACCGTTTGGAGATGAGTGCGGCAAATTTTCAATGTGGGCGTAGCGGGAGCGGGATATTCAAACAGTGCTACGACTTTTTGATTGAAGCAAAGAAACTCGTGCGAATAGTTACATGCTTCTTTTAATTTTTATTTCTGCACATAACTCACGTGCTTTGACCATTTTCTACACCATAGATGTGCTGAAACTAGCTCGTTCCGGTAACACTGATTCTTGTCCCTTTTATATTCAAATAGGAATGGCTTGGCGGAAGGAACACGTCTGTCGTCGCGCGGAGCTGCTAGTCATGTCGGCAAATTACGATTCTCTTGTCATATACCCCAACGAACATACTGATCTTGCCTCTTGGAGTCTAACAAGTTACCTTTCTTCATCCTCTTCTCAATGATTTCACGGAGCTGCGATGCCTGCCTATTGTGGGTTTCAGCAGCCAGCAAAATGTCGATGTAAGCAAGGGCTCGATCATAGTTCTGGAACCTTTAGATTAAACCACCATTGACCACATTCTTCAGATAACCCTGATAAAAGCGCAGCCACCAGGCTGCGATTAATGTGTGTCATGGCCTTGACCTTATTTTTAACCCCCCTTCATTTTCATTAGAGTTCTGAAACACATGAAAGAAAGGAGGCCAAGAACCTTACGGCAAAACTCGATGCGCTAGTACTTAAATTCCCTATTTTCTCACCCTTTGCAAAAATGTGTGAATGGAACCATCCTGAAGACATACTAGGATAGAAAAGTGACACTCACACGTAGGCGAGCGTTAGCAATAGCCAGGAAGTAGACGTAATCTCTTTTGTTCACATCATCGGGCTCTTCACGTAGTAACTCTGGAACTCAAGAATTAGTTTAGACACAAAATCAAGTCTTGAACACTTCACTCGCTTTCCAAAAGTTCAGTTCCTTCAACGACATCAGATTTCGTAGATCGTATGAGAGCAGTCCCGTAGTTAAAAGTAGCAATTGCGCTAGGAGAACCTCGCTTACGCTGGGTTTCATAAGCTTCACGAAACCTCTGAAAAATCCAGTTGGGAAAACATCTACACGTGACTCAATGTAAAACCTTGCCTCGAGATCATATTTATCAACTCGCTCATCAAGAATACTTTCCACATCCATCAGCTCCTGCTCCGTTCTGCAAGGTTAGTATATTCAAGCGAAAACGTGAAGGATTCTTTCATGTGTGGGTGGAAAAAGTATGCAAAGCAGTAGCTAACTGCACAACAAAGCGAACACTCCAAGTATTAGAGAAGAGTAGTTCTTACTTATGACTTTGTGACTGAGAAGCTTTCAGAACTAGGCCTCTGGACTCTCGTGTTTTCTTGAATTGATTTCATGGGTTATGATCTCAGCACCTTTAACTTCTAAAAGTAGCATTTATTTGAGATTTCATCAAGCTTCAGTAATTATGAGTATTAACTACTCAAGTACTACAGAGGTAGTTTTTACTTATGACTTTATATGATTGAAAAGTTTTCAGAAATAGTGTAACAAATTGTAACCATGCAATAATTAAGTCTTTGTCGATACACTGTGAAACGAGCACAATTCTCAACCTATTCAAATACAATATTACAATAATGACTACCACAAAATGAGCACAGACGGCATCTATCAAAGAAAGGAAGAAGAGAAGGTCCGAAGTGCTCAAGGAGTTCAAAGTCTGTCTGAAATAAGAACGGGATTTGCACCAACGGATAGCCTCATTTATCGCTATTTCACTTATTCTTGGACTCATTTGACGCGGGAATGACTCAGTGCGCTAATGCTTAATTGTCGTCCCATTTTGTGCTAATCATTATTGTAATATTGTATTTGATTCGACGGAGAATGAGCTTGTTCAGTAGTGTATAGAGAATGACTTGCTTATTGTATGAATGCGATTTGCTACACTGTTTCTGAAATTTTTTTCAACCATAAAAAGTCATCATAAGTAAAAACTACTCTTGTAACACTTGGATAGTTAATTCTCATAGTTATCGAAATTGGTAATATTCCGAAAAATGGTACTTTCAGAAGTTAAAGGTGCTGAAATCCCAATACATGAAATCAATTCAAGGAACCAGAAGCACATCCACCCTTTTGCAGACAAGGGAGACTGGGTAGGTCGGGGAATCGTAGCAACGTAGCAACCGTAACCCAAGTTGCGATTGGAGCGCAGGGTTGCACTGGAGCACGAGAGTGAAGCCTTACAAGCTGTTGGTCCTGAGGAGGAAGAACTGTTGTTGTGACTCTTAGAATGAGCAGGAACTTTCTTTCTTGAGTTGTGAATGTTTCAAACATTTAAGAACTGGTTTTATCATCTACAATGAGGTGAAACCCTTCTACCCTGTATTCTGAGCAACTTAGCTATTCTAGAACTGAATTTCATCATATTATATGGACGAAACTTCGTACATTGTGCAGTGATACACAGTGTCGTGATGACTCACGAGCTCCCTCTGGTCGACAAGGACGCGCATGCAACAAATCGCGCTCCAGTCACATCGGGTATCGATCGAAATCCCGTCGCACTCATTTCAAATCAACGTACATACTTTTCCCGCGCAAGGACGCTATATAAAAGGGATGCCCAGGAGCCCGCGGCTTCAGAGTAAAGAGCTCCGGGAGGAGATGTCGCGCACCGTACCATGGATTCATCTTTTACCTTAAGGTCAGAGCTCTAAGACCATTCGCCTCGTCTCAACGTGATTCAATTCTTACCTCTATTCTCCATTCTCCATTATTTCCTCATTAATTGTTTTGAGTTGAACATGAATTGAACATGAAGTATTTTTGTCGTGTGTTTCATGTGTGGGGGAATTCCCTAATTACTGGTAAAACACTGTTGCACGCACTACAAAAATTGGTGCATCGGCCGCAGCCGACTTCCTTTTATGATGGCGGCTGAGCGATCGAGCCCGTCTCGCCCCCTCTCCCCCTTTTTTCGTCTTCATACCATCAAATCGCGACATCCCATTCACATTATACTCGCGTTCGCCTATATTTTCGGGTAGCATGTGTTACTCCTGTCAGTGTCCTATCGTGCGTCGTTACAACTGAAACTATTTTCCCACGTTCATGCCTCAGCTATTACCTCCGAAACTTCGGTGGCAGCGATCCCTTCGGTGTGTCTTCGCGAATATCATCAATGCTGGCTAAGGAGGGGCCCCCCATGAGTTTGGGTCAGGTATCTGATGCGCCTTGCGTCTACTGCATCAACTGAAACACGGGCAAGTCGCCGGGGATGCCATTCGTTAGGCCAGAAGGGAAGGCCAACCGACATCCTAGTGAAGATGCAGAAATCGGTCCATTAGTTTGTGCGCAGTTGGGAGGCCCGGGGTTGCTCAGAGCATGATTTTCGCTCCGTGTTGTCAGTTTTTACATAGTCGCACGCGCTACATCGTTAACTCGCCTATAGTATCACTAGCAAGGATTAGACAAATTCTATCGGCTCTCGCCTCTCCACGCAAATGTCACTTCACATGTTTAAATATAGCCTTCCTGAGATCATTAATTATTTAACTCGATCCTGACGTAGTTTCTCCTTAATGACACTGTTTACTACAGTCACAGCGTTGTCACTCAATATCATCTGGGCAGCGGTTAGGACTCCACGAGAGGTCGACCTGTCGCCGCGACGCGGCAGTTTTCGCTATGTGGGCGGCATTTGCATAGTCCATGAGATTTCCAACAGTCTGTTTTATTACTTGCAGGTGTGAAAACTATGGAAGGAGCAGGCCTGATGTTCAACTACAAGTATAAAACAACGCCATTCTCTAAATGTTTTGTGATTTTTGTAGTTTGCTGATGTATTCTCTAAATATTATTTCCGTTTGCATAGAAATAATATTTAGAGAATACATCAGCAAACTACAAAAATTCGCTTTAGGGTGAATCCTTCTTTTGCCCTCAATGGTAAGATTGTGAGGGCCTAAGATTTCTGAAAGACGGGGAAAGCAATCCGTTGAATAAATGCAGCTACCATTCAAAAATATTGACGTCCATTGAATAATCTGGTTTGGCAAAATACCAAGCTTTGCGTGATGCTAGAACTATGTGAAGGTACCGGGATCTTAATCGCACGACTGTATCGAGCTTGTTCAATCAGGGCAGCAATCGCCGCGCACGGCGAGGCGGAAACGATGGCAGCCGTGACCTCTGGTGGAGTCCTAACCTACACCCATATCATCTCCAATCTCCGCAATCAGGCATTTGCTAACTACTCACTGCATTCACATCATGACAGTTGTTCTAGGCAACTCCTGCTTCTCGAAGCCAACATTATATTTACACTGCAAGGATACGAGACCAGAATTCCCACGGCGGTTAGTAACCTTTCACGTATACTTTCATCAGTTGAATGCGGTTACTTGACGGAAGTCGATAACTCTCATGCCCCGTGAGTGGCCACCATTCGATAGTAAAGGTTACAGATTACTCATTCATGTATAATCATCTCATCTAAACATGCTTCGACACTAACAGTCATTTTCGCATCCTTTCTCATGCATGAAACCTTCACTACGCCCATCATTTCCCAATCGAGCCCGCATTCGATCGATCAACCTCGGCTCAGCAATGAAATTCATCGTTACCTCTGTTCCCTTATTCGTCTCTACGATGAAAATTTTGTAACTCCTTCTTTGCCCGACGACATCACAATCGTACCCGCACTCGATCGATGCAACACATTTCGAAAATAAGTCATTACTGCTCTGTTTCTCCCTGTCTCTGTACGGTAGATTCTCGCAACACCGTTCCTGCCCAATGATTTCGCAATCGCATATTTATTCGAGTCAAAGACAAGTCCATGGCCGCCTCTTGCCTCATGGACAACGCGCGCATTTCAATTGCCATACGGTATTTCCGCTCGGGACCCCGCGACCATGGCCACGACCGCCTCGCATCACTAGTTCGCAATGGTTCTTCGCGCCGTCGTGTGAGTGTCTTTACTCCACTCCTGTTACCCTAATTTCGGACTTTCGGACTTCTCGCTCTGACTGTTACTCAGCAATAATGTGTGTTTGTTTCCTGTGCCTTCACTATACATTACACCCATCTTCACAGCCATCGAAGTCCTCGCTTTCATCTTTCACCAGGTACAGCCTAGTTATCCCAACGGATTCTTTGTTGTGAAGCATTGCTCGTCTCGCAACGGCGTTTTTGTTAAAAGTTCACCTAACTGCCCATGGACCAATCAAGGAATGACGTCATTACATATGCGATCTATATATCAAGAGATAGTTAGCTGTCTTTAGGTTTTTTTTGTCTAATTGACTGTTTGATGCGTTCATGCACACATGACAATGAAATGAGATATCATTAGGTAGTTCTCCTTGTCGCCTTTAATGACTTCCTATAAGGTCGTAGGCGCGGTCCACTCTAACGTTGGAAGTTCATCGCCGCCCAGAGAAAAGTCATGCGTATTCACCTGCCCCACTGTTGATTAGCGGTCCTGATGAACTGATTCTCTTGATGTCTTGATTTAAGGCGCATGGTAGTTAGCGGTGCGTAGCCATCGCCTCATTGTTGATAGACACTCCATCACATTCTTACATTACGTCACTATTCGCAAATACAATGCGACGGTAGTTTCGCACCGGTTTTCATCCGAACATCATTATTCATCATTCTTCACGAACTTCCTTACTTGCCGTCACATGTTCCAATTTGATGTCGTTTACACAAGCTATGACCTTCTCACTACCTGCCATTTAGAACTGATGTTTTAAATACGGGGATCTTCCAGCAATAGCTATTAATTATGATTGCAGGAACGGCTCGAGAGCCTCACGAATTCAGCCATGGCCAGTCAAGCCCCGACGCAGCGCAAACGTCCCGTCAGTCCTGCCACCTCGGACGTCAGGAAGCTAGGTTCGGGCACGTGCCCGCGAAAACGCAGGTTAGATCACAGTCGTTTCAGTCGCACACAAAGTCAATCTCATTCTCATCTCACCCGCTTAGACAGTTTTGATTTGGAGACCGAATTATTAGTTCCTGCGTTGCGGAAACTTTTTGGATTCAGGACCAACTCTTCCTCTCCATCGTTGCATCGTTCCAGTTATCGTCCGCTAATTCAACCGAAGCTCCTTGATCCTGCGGCCACATCCTCGCCCAGCCGAGGCCTCCGTGACAGGGTTCCGCAGGAGCTCATAGCACTTCTTGCTAAAGGTTCCACTGCAGATATTCCCAAAGGAGTCTTGGTTGCCGACGACGACGCCTCCGAAGATACCAGCATCGCACCCGAACATCGTCTATCCCTCCTGATCGTCCAGGCACTCACGCTCGCTCGTAACTACGACAACACGTTTAACACTGAACACCTCGCCGCTCAGGACATGGTGATGGTCGATGCATTCTTGCGCCATTCCTTCTACAACACACTCCGCAGCGGACTTGTCGACGAAGCCCATGTACCTACCGAGGCAGAGTTAGAGTACCCTCCAGTGAAATAGTATTCCATTTACCTTGTGATCCAGGCATACAAGGCTCTCGCCGCAGCTACTCAGAAGCTCACACCTTCAACTCAGATCTGCCCCAGGCCTCCGATAACTTCGAGAATGAAGCCAAGCTTTTGAAACTTCACGAAAGGCTTATCACTCTCATCTACAATGTGCAGGAACACCGCAACATTCTCGGCGACCTCATCATGCCCAATGCATTCAACCCACACAAAGACAGCAAACAGGTTGTTGACATACTCAACCACTACTCCGTCACAATCGCTCGCATCGAACTCGTCTGTGTCACAGCCTCTACTGCTACCTCATTCGGCTACACCAATCTCAAACACATTGGCACCGCATCAGCCCGCCTACGTCGAGTCAACCCGGGCCCTGCGTCCCCGGCAGAGTCTCTCGAGATACCCACTGTCGCGGAACTTTATGCAGTTTACTCTGACGCAGGAGCAAGACTCAACATGCACCCTCCAGTAGACCGACAAAAAGGATAAACCCGACAACGCACCGGAAAGCGGTACCACGCCATCCGTACCTGCCACCATGACCGTCCGCCTGTCATGCCCCCTCCGCCACCGTGAGACTCCTATCCTAGAAGAAGTCCTATGCTGCCATTTTGGTGGCGGCCGCCACTACACTAACATGTGTACTCAGGTCGTCAATCTCACCGAGCGGTGCGTCAAAGCAGGTACTCAGAGACGTTGTCTTCGCTGTTTATATATCCACGTACCCGGATTTTGCCGTCGTCCATTATGTGCCGCGTATGCCATGACCCTAATCATCATCCTGCCTTATGCCCTTCCAGTGAAAATGTGATAAAAGATGTTCATAAGGACGTGGAGGCGTTCTTCGACACTATATGGACACTTTACCGGAACCTTCACTCAAAACATTGACTACCGCACCGCCCCATGGGTCTCCCTGGGAACGCGTACAACTACCCCCCCCCCATCACCCATCACACAGCGTGAGAGACCGCTACCAACCCAATTGGCCCTGCCACACCCCTGGGAATCGACTCCCCTCAAGATCATGTAAGCGAGAAACAAAAGACTCTCTCTCTCGCAAATTTTGCTTGCCCCACCAAGTGCTCCTATCACCCAATCTATTCTATTACTTGCTCGATTGTAGAAGTTTTGCAGACGTCAACAGCGCCACTGTCTACTCCACGTCGAGAACCTCCTTGCTATGGAAAGCAACAAATCTTCCAGTACAACGCACTACTGATGTCGGCCGCGCGCCACCACACCAGTTCCGATCCTGTTCAGGGCGATGATCTTATATTTTTGTGTCGTATCCTTTATGCATTGTATTTTCTCACTTATTCAAGGTATCCGCTTCTCTCTGAAGGTATTTTTTTCAATTGTATCCTTTTCCATTTCAGGATTTTTTTTGAATTTCTTGTTCTCTTACCCTTCGAAGTATTCCTCGTGTATTCCGTTCACAATTTCGGATGTATTGTCTGTTTGTTTTGCTCCCAAGTTGGTCATTGATACCTATTCTTCTTAATCTTCCATTAAATGGTCGAAGTTGCGATGACTATGAGGTCTTCATCAAGTCATTATGTCGTCTCTTAAAGCGCTGGCGTTCGATCAACACAGCTACATCTGCCCCCGCGGGAGGTCGTGATGACTCACGAGCTCCCTCTGGTCGACAAGGACGCGCATGCAACAAATCGCGCTCCAGTTACAACGGGTATCGAAATCCCGTCGCACTCATTTCAAATCAACGTACACTCTTCCCGCGCAAGGACGCTATATAAGAGGGATGCCCGGGAGCCCACGGCTTCAGAGTAGAGAGCTCCGGGCAGGAGTCATGTCGCGCACCGTAGCATGGATTCATTTTTTACCTTAAGGTCAGAGCTCTAAGACCATTCGCCTCGTCTCATCGTGATTCATTTCTTATCTCTATTCTCCATTCTCCATTATTTCTTTTTAAGTTTTTTTGTCGTGGTCGTGTGTTTCATCTGTGGGGGAATCCCCTAATTACTGGTAAAACACTGTTGCACGCACGACACACAGTGTACTCGAACTTGCAAATACACCGGAGGATCATCTTCTGTCCGTTTACCACAAGGAAACAAACAATATGAAAGGTGAAAACGAAAACAACAAGAAACAACTAGGTAGAAGGAATGATGTGAATAGTATAACAAGCTCTATGCAACGTAACAAACATAGGAAACAGTTTGAGGTTGGCGTAAGTAGATATTCGTGATTATTGATTTTGAGAGACCAGATGAAGTGATAGTGATCGTGAAATGTTTGAAGCGCACCATCTGCAACACCTGCTGTCATCTGGATGCTGCTGTATTGTAATAAAAATAGCAGCTCTTTCTGTGGTTTTGGAACTATACAACTAAGTGACTGTGTTCCCAAGCAGGATCCCTTTCGCATGCTTTTCTAGTTGCAGTTGTTTCGTGGAACATTCCCTTTTTTCCGGTCATAGAACTTGTTCACTACTCTCATTCCCCTTCCCTCTTGAAATGTGTTGATATTTCTTATTACGTCTTTTGCATTTATTCCCAGTGTGACTAATACTGATTTCCGGAAATGATTCAGGAAGATGTGTATTCAAAAAAACCAAACTAATTACAAGTAAATCCTTTGTTTTTATCTCAAATGTTATCAAGCTATATAATTTTTGTTAAGTTAATGTTGCCATAGTTCATGTTATAGAGTGCATTTACTGATGTTACGTTATCACTTCAAGGATAGACAAAGTTTTCACAGCACAGCATAAAGTTTTCATTCATGGTGGACGAGTACATCAATCTAGAACACCTACGATGCCTAGAATACAGCTACAAGAGTTCCACCTCATTCTGGGTGATACATAACGGTGAAATGTGAAAGTGAAAAGTGTTTCTTGAGTGTGAAATGTGTAAAACATCCACATCTCAAGAAACAAAGTTCCTGCTCATTCTAAGAGTCACACCAACAATTCTTCTTCCTCAAGAACAACAGTCTGTAAGGCTCCACTCCCGTGCTTCAATGCAACCCTGCGCTCCAATCGCAAATTGGGTTATGGTTGCGATTACCCGGCCTGCTTCCTATCACCTCCCCGTCAAAGCGTGTCAGGTGAATAGTGTTCCAGATGAGACAACTCGCCCATAGTTCCAATATAGTTTTTTCCCCTAAGTAATCATTAGAAGAAAGCTTGGCCGAGATCTATGGGCACTGTAGCCCACATTGACGGTTTTTGGCAGACTACAAATTAGGAAAGCCTCATATGATCTAGTGATTCATACAGTTATCCAAATTGGTAGGGACTTAGCATACCTGTCAAAACACGTCAACTGCAATGGAGTCGCGCCAAACGACCGCCTCCCAGCTAAAAGCTTAAAGGACCGGGAACCATGCTCTAATTCAACAGCGCGCCCCAATGACAACCCCTGATTACTGTAAGGCCGCGTTCATACAGACGGCACCCGCGGCATCCGTGGCCTCTGCGGAATTTTCAGAGCAAGCAAAGAATACGTATCGATTTGGAAAATTCCGCAGAGGCCGCAGAGGCCGTGGCCTCCGCAGCCTCCGCGGAGGCCGCGGCCGCCGTGGCCTCTGCGGAATTTTCAGAGTAAGCAAAGTATAGGTATCGATTTGGAAATTCCCCAGAGGCCGCGGCCTCTGCGGCCAAGCGCGAAGCGTACGCGTCGCGGCCTCTTCGTTGGGACGCCGAAACTTATTCGAAACTTGATAATCATGCTGTAATCCCGGTTTTCCCCTCTGATTTATGTAGTTACGTGCATAGTGGTAATTTTCAAGAGGTGTTTTGAGTGGGGATGGCACTATTCCAGCATTCATTGTTGCCACAATGCACCATTCTACACGAAAACCATATTTTTCATCCTCCGGCTTAGAAATCGCTGTGCATGGTGAAAAAGAAAGGTTTTCAGAAGCAATTCGAACAAAATCCTGGAAGAAACCCATTTGAAAACATTTCAACTTTTCACCATGCACTTATTGTCCGGGAAAGCATTGTGGAATAGGAAAATGGATGAGAATGAAAAATGGAAAAAAAGTGGAAACGAAATAGCGAAGCCTTACCAGCTTCTGCAATAGATTGTCTGACCATTTTTCAATATTTTTGGCGTATAAACGCCCTAGCATTTATGCGCATTCTGCGAAAATAGGGAAAAACTGCTTTGTCCCACGCGGCAGACACGCGAATGGCGCCTTGTCGCCGATGTGTTAAAAAGGGGCACCTCCAAGGGTGAAATTTTGCTGTAGTTGAGTTCCCATCTGTTGGGATCAGTTGAACCAGATCAGCTGATTGCCATTTTTTCAAGGTATTGATTGCGTTCGAGCGTTACCGTCAAGAGGCCGCGACGCCATACGCTTCGCGCCTGGCCGCGGCCAGGCCACGGTGCCGCGGGTGCCGTCTGTATGAACGCGGCCTAACACGGATTCACGTCCGCTGGAATCTTTCTTGGCTTCCGACCAGATGAACGCCATAACAAATATGATGGAGGAACGAATGTTGTGACTGGTCATACTCGTACTTGCTGGAGCAAATGTTGATTCCTGTCAGTTACAGTGTCTGTAGTACAGAACGGTCAGAGGGCACATCAATCCGCGTGAACTTGGTGAATATATGTAGCAATATCTGTGCGAAGCCATTCAGACCATTGCTTACTATGAAAGACCCCACCAACTGAATAAAACAGCTTAAACTCTTGAAAGTGAAAAAAATTAACCACAAGGTGTAGGGAGACGGTTTAAGGTCGGAAGGTGCGCCGCGTCCGCAATTGCCACCGTCACTGGGCCGCGGCAAATATTCGCGCGTGGGACGGCGTGCGTACGACCACTGCACAGTATTTCACGCCATTGTGTCTGGGGCGCATGTCGTTCGGCGCGACCTAGGCGCCGAACGACATGTCGTGTCAAAACATGACGGACGAACCGCTTGCAGGAAGGGCAACTCGTCCAAATTCTCAGACTACGGGTTCCCCCTGATCCATGGTAGATGCCTTGAATGACAAGTGTGATATCAATTACGAAAAGCTCGCACATTAATGATAGGGCGGGTTATCCAACCTTGCGGAAGCGTGCCATTACTTGTCATTACGCGCCAGTGGCAATGGGACTGCGCCAAACGACCGCCTCCCGAATAAATGCAATGCGTGCGTACCTTGCAGCATAGAGCATTTAGAATCAAAGAAAAACACATATTGGGGAAAGGAATACACTCAAACACAGATGATCCGTTTCGCACGTTATTGCAGACGAATCATCGATGTTTTACCAACCCCCGGGCTCTTCAGTGCGACAGGGTTGACGACATAGACATGGACTGCATAGGGGAAGGAGATCAGAAATAGGATAAAACGAGAAAAAATGTAAAAAAAAAGTTGACATGCAAAATTCATGCAATAAAGATGAGAAGAAATTGTACAGGAAAAATGAAAGAGGGATATAAGTGGTGAGTGTTAAATACGTTCAAGAGGAAGAAAAATGGATTGTTGTATTAGGTTGTTCGGGAAGAAATGCGCGTT